TAAAGGATCAATGCTTGGCCCCTGAAATGGTCTGACCATCATAAAGGATCAATGCTTGGCCCCTGAAATGGTCTGACCATCATAAAGGATCAATGCTTGGCCCCTGAAATGGTCTGACCATGATAAAGGATATCAATGCTTGGCCCCTGAAATGGTCTGACCATGATAAAGGATATCGAATAGAAATAAAATTAATACGTAGATCTCTGTGTAAAATGGAGATTAAGTCACAGTACAATAAAAAAGGGATATTTAAAAAAATATATTATCAATTAATTGATAAATAAATCAAACATATTTTATATTCTTAAAATTATTTTTGTTTTTATTAGTGACCTGCCATGTGTTGATATCAAATATTGTTCTGTCTGGCATAGAATGGAATAGAGGCCAAAACGTTGCATTGCAGCAGCCATTGTAGAAAAGGTCAAAGGTCTCGCTGTTATGAATTAGAACCGGTTTAGCTTGAGTTGATTTCAATCCTATAATATAAAACATTTTGTTGAGACACACTTTCATTCCTTTATTTCGTCAAAGTTAAGGAGTAATTTGTCACAAAATATACAAAAATCGATGACGTAATTTAAGACGTGGATTTATAAATTGTTAATTAAAAAATAGTAATAATGAAAAGTATTTTCTTTAATTATCTGATATTTAGCACTATATATGAACTAAATTATCTGATATTTAGCACTATATATAAACTAAATTATCTGATATTTAATTCGTCAAAGTCAGGGGGCGGAAACGTCATGTGTGTGTGTCTGTACCAAAAGAGTGTGTGTAAAGTTTACCGTGCCGAAGGTAATGTAGGTATATACAGTACATAAGAATCTCGGTATTTGTACAGTCTAGGAGAGTACATTTGTTTATTGTTAATTGCTTACTTAAAAATAAGTCAACACTATAAGCCAAATTTTCATGCAAAGAATATAACTTGATTAAAGTTTACAATAAATATAGTCGTTATTCAAGCTTAATAATAATTGACAACAATGTTCTGCAATTTCCTTGACTGTAATCATGTTGTGTGTCTGTACCAAAAGAGTGTGTGTAATGTTTACCGAACTCGTCTGCAAACCAGTGCGACTGGCTTTCTCATGCCAGACCAGCGCCATTTCCTTTCCCTTTAATCCTATTCCCTGGTCAAAGTTTAGAAGTAATTTGTCACAAAATATACAACAATCGTTCACGTAAATTAAGACGGGGATCTATATTTTGTTAATTGAAAAATAGTAATAATGAAAAGTGTTTTCTTTAATTATCTGATATTTAGCACTATATATGAACTAAATTATCTGATATTTAGCACTATATATAAACTAAATTGTCTACTAAATATTTGTACTGCTTCCAGAGTGGGAAACATACTGTAATGAATACATACATGATGATGATACTTTTTCTGAAAATTTTATTCTAAAGCTAATATTTTGAAACATCTATTGATCACTTCTTGGAGAATAGTTCCGTTGTGTGAAACCATATTTTTGATATAAAAAATCAGACATAGTGAGATGTTTAAGGGTCCTTTAGATAAAAAGTGTTGAACTCTGTTAATTTCCTTCATTGTTTCGCAGTCAAAAATGAGCGCAAGTCACTTGATCAGATCAGAAAAATGTGTAAGGGCCAAGGGGTACCGTAAATTGAGGGTCACTTCAAACTACGCCATTTTAATATCTATAATATTTCAACTTCAATTGTTTGAAAGTTTATGGTAAACACTGTATTGGTTTGCATGCTAGCTGATTAGGAAATACCTGCTGTTGGACTCTGATCATCAGGTTTAGATTCTGGAATAGAATCTTCAGTTTTAAAATCTGTTAACCCTGTCCATCCTACCCAGAGACCAGCACATTCTATAACTACAGGAGCCACTGCTGTAACCAGTCCTCCAGCACTGAACAAATATTTTTTTCAAATTAAATTTTTTATATTAAACCCTGTATTTCGCATAATGCATCGGGATTTACAGGTTTTCCCACTAAAACTAAAATTGAAGAAAACCTAATATACTATATACCGTTACATACTTCGTTTATCTGTCTGTCTGTTTGTTTGTATCCAATAAACGTAAATACACCTGAATTGATCGGTCCAAAATGTACATGACTTTAACGACACAAGGAAAGGTTTATGCCTGGTCGAAGTTGAACAATTTTGCCCGGAAAAAATGTCGACATTTACTTTTTTTTTAAATGCACCAATTTAAACAGAAAAATCTGCGAAAATTGAATAACTATTAAAAATTATGACTTTTACAGTAAAACCATTCTAACCCGATTAGACGGCAATAATACAAAGAAGACATTAACATACATACAAATTACAAGATTATTAACTATTTATGAAGAGCAGCATATTTTCTAGAATAGCCTAGATGTCCCGGTGGAATTTTTACCCACGTTCCAGAATCAATCATAATCAACTGTATTATTTACACAAAATACAGATATTTACATCATAGAACGGAACTATGTACACAAAATATAACAAAATTTACACTGTACGGTAAAACAGAAGTGTACACTGTACAGCATATACAGCTTACTGTATTGAATTGCATAGTAAAACATTTCTAAATTACAGAATTGTAATATACTGCATAATAGGACTGAACTGAACTATGTAATATATCTTTTTTGTAATGTACTTTATAGTAGTACTGTACTGTCTTGTACACATAAATTTGTTTTACATCATACAATTACTGTACAGTATAATGTGCTCTACAGTATATAAATCTACTGTACAGGTTATCTATACTGTACAGTTTATCTCTGCTGTTCATTGTAGCTGAGCTGTACAGTGTTACTTTGCTGTACATTGTAACTATGTTGTACAGTCTAAATATGCTGTACAGTGTACATATGCTTCACAGTGTAACTATGGTGTACAGTCTAACTATGCTATACAGTCACACTATGCTGTACAGTGTAACTATGATGTATAGTGTAACTATGCTGTCAAGTGTAACTATGCTGTACAGTCTAACTATACTGCACAGTGTAACTATGATGTACTTGCTGTATAGTGTAATTATGTTGTACAGTCTCACTATGCTGTGCAATGTAACTATGCTATACACTGTAACTATTCTGTACATAAAGTCTAATATGCTGTACAGTGAAACTATGCGATACAATGTAACTATGCTGTACAGTGTAACTATGCTGTACAGTGTAACTATGCTGTACAGTGTAACTATGCTGTACAGTATAACTATGCTGTACAGTGTAACTATGCTTTACAGTGTAACTATGCTGTACAGTGTAAATGTGTTGTACTCATATTAGTCTGTTAAAGTTATTTGAAATGTACATTTTAACGGATTTAATAAAATGTTCTTAATTGAAATTTTTTGAAACATATTTTTGTAATTCGAAATATAATTTTGTATTAGATAGAGGAAATTAATAACATAATCTTTATTATTAAATAAAAAACATGTCATAGAAGGAGATAGAAAATGTAAACTGTACACAAATACTTTGCAGGTCAGTTAAGGGAATTTCTAATTATCCGAAAAAGTTGTTGTTCACAATATTATCATCTTTTGAGATGAAAATGCACGAATTTTTTCCTGAAAGCTTCACTTATTTCATATAACTGTCACAAGGGATGTTAGGTAACTTTGCCTCCCTTTCTTGGGGGAATCATAGGTCGGATCAAAAGACGGTAAAAAACATGGATAATATCAATCAAATAAGTTTGACAAAACAAATTAGACAAATTTTAATTTACATTTTGAAAAGGCTCCATTGTTGCCAATTATAATAAAATTGCTTTTTTAAAGTTTAAATAGTGTTAAAAAATCAAATTGGTGCAGCCGTTACTAAAAATATTTTGTTGCACCTGGATTTCCGTTCCAACATTCCATCAGCATTCCGAGTCAGAACAAATGGAAGACGATTGGAGACAACAATCATAGGATTGGTAACGTGAATCGGCATTCTATAATTTTAGTTTTTTTTTTAATTGAAATAGAATCAATACCTACAACAAAAATAAAAAAAATTCTGTTCTATTTTTATTTTTCTTCTAAATATTTTGTTTTGGTTATTTATTTCTTTGCGCATTATTTTATACATCTTTCAAATTATTTTGTTTCCAGCATGGTTTTATATTAAGGTTGGTTACTCTCCATGCGCTCCAATGTACAGAAAATGTCGTCTCCTAAGATAGATGGATAAGAACCTAATATGACGTAACTATCGCCTTTATAATCAGTGACGTCATATCAATCTATCTTAAGAGACGTCCTTTTCCGTACATTGGAGTGCATCGAGAGTAACCAACCTTATTATACAACATTGGTTTCTAGTTCTTTCTATTGTTTCTAGTTTCTTTCTTCTTCCTTTTCTTGGTCTTTTCAATCTTTCCCTCTCCGACCTTTTCCTATCCCAGCCTATTCAATCCAATCCGTTTCTGTCTAAGCTTTCCCAATCCAATCCGTTCTTATCCAATCCTATCCAATCCTTTCCTATCCAATCCTTTCCTATCCAATCCTTTCCTATCCAATCCTTTCCTATCCAATCCTTTCCTATCCAATCCTTTCCTATCTATGAAAGATAAGGTTTACTTGTAACCTGGGTTTTGTCTCCTCTGCCTCGTTAAAACTATCCTCCTCTAGGTCTATGATAGAGAAGGTCAACCTGGAAGAGATTGGTTCGTCACCGGAATCACATTCACTTCCTCCCTAGAGTATATTATCTTATAAAAAATATAAGGTAAATCTTTGTAAATACAGGATTACCGACAAAGAAAGAGACTGTAAAGACGACCTGAAACTAAAAGATCATCAAATCAAGGTAAAATTAAAAGTATTTTTATTTAACGATTTTGCAAAGAAAGAAACAAGTTTACAGCTGCAGGTAATTATGAATATAAACCTCTGAAGTCTCATTTTTTGTGGGTAACCCTGTATGTGCTTTATTTAAACACGACCAACCCGTAAACTTCAATAAAATTGGTAGCTTCGGATAGGTGGTGCGAGAGGCGTTATAGAAGTAAACGGTTTTTTAAATACTGAGGGCAACGTCTCAGCAAAGAAAATAGATTTGGAATTAAGTGACCACTATAGAATGGTCTTATCCACGAAAATAATTTGTAAATAATAAGATTTTACCGTAACAAATGTTAACAACAATTTTCTTAATCCATGAAATAAATGCGGAGATATTAAGAAATTTGCTAAAATATCAAATATGAACAAAATTGTTAAAATTTTTGATATTTTCATTTTTAAAAATACCAAAATTTAAAAAGAGCGGACAATCTGTTTTACATCATTAATAACTGAAGATCGATGACGATAAAATGTCCTTATTTATTAGAACACCCTCTACTGTATATTTGTTAGAACACCCTCTACTGTATATTTTTTAGAACACCCTCTACTGTACTTATTAGAACACCCTCTACTGTGTATTTATTAGAACACCCTGTACTGTATTTATTAGAACACCCTCTGCTGTATATTTATTAGAACACCCTCTACTGTATGTTTATTAGAACACCCTCTACTGTATTTGAATGCTCGGGTGTTATGTTAACAACAACAGAAATTTATGAATAGTATTTTGATCTGTAGTGTTAACGTAGCTAATAGTAAATTTGCAAACTAGTTTTAATGTTTAGATTAAGGAAAATCTGCAAAAACAGATCAGCTGCAACTTTTCTGTTTATGTTTACAGTTTGCAGTAAGTATGCACTGTGAGATTTAAAGTTTTAAAACTCCGATAGTCAGCTGTTTTGATATAAGATAAATGCTTTTCGTTTTATGAAAACAAAAACATTTAATTTAAAAACTATGATATTAAGATATCTATTTTCTTTCTTCAAGACACTAAAAATATAACTTTCTAAAAAACATTAAATTTGAATTAAAAATTATTAAGTTTTCCAAAAATAATCTAAATTCTAAAAATTATTAAACTTTTGAAAATTATAGAGTTTTTTAAAATTACTTACTTTTTAAATATCCCTTTTGAAGAATTAAATACCTTTTAATGTTTCGCGAATTTCTTAAATTGGTTTTTTAAATTCAATTAGATGATGAGAAAAGGCTTTGCCAAGATCAAAGAATGAAATGTCATATTTCTTGTTTTAAAAAATAACCTTTTCGAGAATTAGCAGAAAATGTGATATTTTAATGTAAAAAGTTATAACAGTAATGGATATCATCTCGTTTTTTAAAAACCTCTCAAAAAAGAGAGAAGTTTTTGTTGCATATACCTTGCCATAATAGTTATACTCTAGAGAATTGTAAACTCTGTGTATATTCTAGAGAATTGTAAACTCTGTGTATATTCTAGAGAATTGTAAACTCTGTGTATATTCAAGAGAATTGTAAACTCTGTAAATACTCAAAAGAACTGTAAATTCTGTATATATTCTAGAGAATTGTAAACTCTGTATATACTCAAGAGAACTGTAAACTCTGTGTAAAATCTAGTATATTCTAACTCTATGTAAACTCTATCTAAACTCTAGTATATTTAAAACTCTATGTAAACTCTAGTATATTCTAAACTCTATGTAAACTCTGAAATATTTTAAACTCCATGAAAACTCTAGTATATTTTAAACTCTATTTAAACTCTAGTATATTCTAAACTCTATAGTAGTAAACTCATAGTATATTCTAAACTACATGTAAACTCTAATATATTCTAAACTATATGTAATTGTAAACTCTAGTATATTTAAAACTCTATAATGTAAATTCTAATATATTCTAAACTATATGTAAACTCTAGTATATTTATAACTCTCTAATGTAAACTTTAATATATTTCAAACTATATGTAAACTCTAGTATATTTTAAACTATATGTAAACTCTAATATATTCTAAACTATATGTAAAATCTAATATATTCTAAACTATATGTAAACTCGAGTATATTTAAAACTCTATATAAACTCTGATATGTAAACTCTAGTATATTTATAACTCTCTAATGTAAACTTTAATATATTTCAAACTATATGTAAACTCTAGTATATTTTAAACTATATGTAAACTCTAATATATTCTAAACTATATGTAAAATCTAATATATTCTAAACTATATGTAAACTCTAGTATATTTAAAACTCTATATAAACTCTGGTATATATTTAAAACTCTCTAATGTAAACTCTAATATATTCTAAACTATAATGTAAACTCTAGTATATTCAAAACTCTATGTAAACTCTTTATAAGTATAAAGCTGTTTCTTGACCCCAGCATTATTGTTGCAATATACTCTCCATAGAAACTGATCCTTATATATATATATATATAAATCAGAGTGAAGGAGTAAAGGACTGGAAGAAAACTTGTTTTCATGAAATATATATTTATTGCATTCTGCATTTTACTGTTATGCTTTTAACACCAAGACTGGAGTAAAATTCAAATGACGAAAAGATTCTAGTTTCACAAAATAAAGTTTTCAAGTGACATTCCCTCTAAAGATGATTTACAAGGATTAAAATATCCCAGTTTCTTTCAAAATAAGTTGCATAAAGCACACTGCAAACCAAGATGTTCACGCTCTCATTCAAAAATTAAGAAGTACTTTGCCCAAAAACTTTATCTAGCTCCTAGTCGTCTACTGTTCAACTAGTTACTAGTCTACTATAGTCTTAACACGCCACTTTATATAATCGTACTTTACCCACAAAACAAGAAACTACAGTCGGCATAATATTTATAATCAATTAAATTTTCAAATTGCAACGTGTTTTTATTCAGATTCTTTATTATTACTTGTGTTTAAACACGAACACAGACAAACATGCCTTTGCTAAATAGAATGAGGTATTTTTTAAATATTCTTTTTTGTCATAAACAACAACTGTAGTTCAAAACTACGTGACTTTTCATTTGACCAGTTAAAATTTAATTTTTAAAATCATAATAAATTTTAAAAAAAACATTGTTATAAATACACCTTTACATAAAATTCATATACCAGAGTGGACAATTAATAAAATAACATAAAAAATATTTTTCAAATGTTAGAAATTTGCTTTTTCTATGAAAATTTATAGAATAATTCATTAATATGTGTTTTCACAATGTTGCAGGATCGAGAGATAAAAATTGAAACTACGTAATCAGCTGTTTTTTACTATACCATAGATATTTTAAAGGGACTGTAAGCGAAATTTTAAGTGATCATTCATGGCAATTCCCGATTCACAACGGTACCCTAAAATGATTTCGGAAAATTATCATTTTCAATTGTAGTTTCTCTAAAAAAGTGACTTAAGCTCATTTTTCAGGAAAACTTTTTGAAAAATTATTTGAATCAATCACTTTTAAACCTAGAAAAACGTAAATATCTTCTACATAGTTCATCTGATAAAGGTTTCAAGGGTACCGTTGTGAATCGATCAGGCCTTTTCATGTGTATTGGAATAAGGGTCCCTTGAAATTACACATACAATCCCTTTAATTCAATTATGAATAAAAGTTAAATGCAAATTTAACCTCACATAAACCTGTTTTTATTCAAATCAAAGTTGTTAAACTGGTTCATCTAGAATACACACCCTCCCCACACCTTTCTTCTTGAACAGCGTTTAAACTCTGTCTTGAGCTTCTCATTGATTTCTATTTTAAATGCAATTAAAGAATTAAATTCAAATGTCGATATTTATTAAAGAATGGTGGCTACAAAACCCCGCACTTTTCTATCATTCACAAATTTTCTATTTTACCTTTTCAACAAGTGAACCAGAGATCTCAGGAAAGTCTGGGGTCATCGCTCACGATCTGAAATTATATTTTTTTATTACTATATTCACAAATACATATTTCCTGAGTTATTCAACATATATCTCGTCTTTCATAAAACATTTTTAAATGCACAGTTTATTTTAGCTATTTAGCACTTTATATTCAACTATATTCATCTATATTCATCTATGTGTATCTATATTTAACTATATCCATCTATATTCAACTATATCCATCTATATTTATCTATATTCATCTGTGTTTATCTATATTCAACTGTATTTATCTATATTCATCTATATTCATCTATATTCATCTATATTCATCTATATTCATCTATATTTATATATATTCAACTATATCCATCTATATTCATCTATTATCATCTATATTCATCTATATTCATTTACATTCATCTATATTCAACTCTATTCAACTGTGTTTATCTATATTCAACTATATTCATCTATATTCATCTATATTCATCTATATTCATCTATATTCATCTATATTCATCTATATTCATCTATATTCATCTATATTCATCTATATTTATATATATTCAACTATATTCATCTATATTCATCTATTATCATCTATATTCATCTATATAGATTTACATTCATCTATATTCAACTATATTCAACTAGAGTCTACTAAAATCAACTATATTTAGCGCTATTCAGCTATATTTAACTATATTCAACTATATTCATCTTTATTCATCTTTATACATCTATATTATCTATATTCATTTGTATTCTACTATGTTTAACTTTATTTAACCATATTTAAGTATGAAGATATATTAACTTATGTTTAGCTTTTTCTTTGAACTTGTAATTTATTCTACGCACGTTAGACTCTTTCATGAAGTTAGGTTTACTTTACAGTATGTTTTGTACACTGTCCTGTACTTTATATACTGAGTACAGCTTTAACTCTTTATTTAAACAAAATATATTAAGTGCTATCTGTTGCTAACTTTAACCCGTTGAGTGTATGCACTGATTAAAGACTGATGTATATATATAAATGTTGCTTTATGCAGTAGTTTCTTACTTCTCCCAGGGTATAATAATGAAAGACAGACCTGTGTCAATTAAATACTCTTTTTCTTTTCAATGAGCAGAGAACACACACACCCTCCCCCCATCCTCCAAATTTTTTTTTAGTTTTTTAACGTTGTTTATCGTTATCTTTTGAATTTTTTCTTCTAAATCTATATTTATAAAGAATATAATTACACATAATTCTTCTGCATCTTTTTGTGGGACATCATATTTGCATTCTGACATGATTAGCCTAGTTTTAATATATTAAATTTCTTCAAACTACCAACCTGTTTTTAATTAAATTTGAAATATGATAAGGTTCCCACAAGATGTAAGATAGTGTACAGAGTAATAAAATAAGGTTACTACATGATGTAGGATAGTGTACAGAGTAATATNATATATGTTTATTTATTTATCAATGCTACTATCTAACTATATTCCAGGTGTCTAGTGTATCTACTATCTAACAATATCTAGGTGTCTAGTGTATCTACTATCTAACTATATCTAGGTGTCTAGTGTACCTACTATCTAAGAATATCTATGTTTCTCGTGTATCTACTGTCTAACAATATCTAGGTGTCTAGTGTATCTACTATCTAACATTATCAAGGTTTCTAGTGTATCACTATCTCAGTATATCTAGGTTTCTAGTATATCTATTGTTTATCTAGGTTTCTAGTGTATCTACTCTCTAACAATATCTTGGTTTCTCGTGTATCTACTGTCTAACTATATCTAGGTTTCTAGTGTATCTACTATCTAACAATATCTAGGTGTCTAGTGAATCTACTATCTAACTATATCTAGGTTTCTAGTGTATCAACTGTCTAACTATATCTAGGTTTCTAGTGTATCTACTGTCTACCTTTATCTAGTATATCTAGGTTTCTAGTGTATCTACTGTCTACCTTTATCTAGTTTATCTAGGTTTCTTGTGTATCTACTGTCTACCTTTATCTCGTATATCTAGGTTTCTAGTGTATCTACTGTCAACCTTTATCTAGTATATCTAGGCTTTTAGTGTATCTCCTATCTAAGTATATCTAGGTGTTTAGTGCACATAATGTTTAACTATATCTAGGTTTCTGTGTATCTACTGTCCAACTATCTCAAGGTTTCTAGGATTACAATAAAACTGTATCTATGTTTTATGTCCTTGCTAGATTGGGAACCCAGCTTTGCATGGAGTGGTACCTATAAAAGTCAACCCACTCAACTTAGAATTTTTAAACCATGCTAAGAAAGTTTCCGTGGTTCATGGCTTCATGCCTTTTCGCATCGATACTGCAGTACCTAATTAACAAACATTTGAGTGTGTTGTGAATCTAGGTATTTCAGTATCAATGCGTTCTTTTCTACGATGATTTAATGTAAATCGATCCAGGGGTTCATGAGTTATGATCGGACATCTAAACAAATAAACAGAGATGACTACTTTATATATATATAGATTGTATGTATTATTAGATCACCTAGAGGAATGTAACTAAATTCAACAAGGAACTGAACAATTTCTCAATCTCTAATAGATACTTAGTTATTATAATAATTTAGATATTTAGGTAATAAGTATTTAGTTCCTTTATGTATTAATCTTGTCACTGAAACTATCCCTTAAATATATCTCCGTCCCTGACCCACCAACTTTAGTTTCAACACTGTGGAAAATGCATTTAAACATTTTTATTTGGATCAAGTGAAAGTCCAAATATTTTTTCCTCTCTCCTTCTATGCAAATTTGCAATCTGCATACTGGTAAATTTACAGGATTTTGTATCTTTGGCAAACTTTCTCAACTTTACATATTGTAAAAAAAATTGCGAAAACAAAATTTTTAATTTTTATAAGTGTAAAAAATATTTTTCCCTTGTCGCCAGGCCCCTGTTTATTTACAATGTTGCGTAGTTTAACGTGTACTTCTTCGCAACTGTTACCATGGGTCGTCCACGCATAAAAATTTGTTAAATAAGTTCAAGGGACTATCCACGTAATTTTGAATGACCCTTGCATCAACGATCAAAAGCACTTCCCTTTAAATCCATAAACCTGTTAAATGATGTCTTGGGATTTTCAATCTGAAATAGTTCTAAATTGTTTGATGTAAATGAGTTGCTTTCTTTAAGTTTCTTTCAGATAGAAAATTATGATGATTAGAATTGTAAACAGTCCCCTTAGTCTAGGCGAAACTGGAAAATTGATTTATTTTGCTGTGATGAAAAATCAAGGAACTGTCACCGTGCATTTAAACAAATGTGTTGTTGATAATATACTAGTTTTCTTTGTTAGGAAAAGAAGTAAAGTTTTTATAAAACACTGCAGTCACACATTTCAAATTAGAAATTAAAGAAAATATTAAAAGAAAATTTGATGAAGTCCCAAAAAAGTATTCTCTGAAAAATTATGTTTGGATAGTTATTTTTTCAATATAATTTTTGCCAGTCTTTTACATACACAGAGTTACCAAGAATACATGCTTCATTACATAAGCTCACAGAGTTTAAAAACTTTTTTAAACTGTATACGAGCATTTATTGAATACATGCTACGAAGTGGAAAATCTTTTAAAGGTACAGTTTAAAAAGATAGAGTCTGCCCCATTGTTAAGAAAAATAGCACACAAATTCATTTAAAAATTGTTTTAAAATAATTTCCCATAACTAAATAAAAATGTACATTGTAAAGGATTTTTTTTTAATTTTTCATGTTTTTAGACATTTAGCATTTTTCACATTAAAGTTTTAATATTCATAATTAATGAGTCGAAAAGAGTTAAAATATTAAACCTTTTCATCTAGTTACCCAGAGGGGAAAAGTTGCTTTTATCTTTTCTATTTGTATGTAATTAACATTTATCCACCATCATGTAAAACTATTTATAACGAAGTAGATCCTGTTTGTATCGGAATATTTTCATATTTTCATATTCAAAATCCGTCTAATATAACTTTAAAAACTTGAAATATTTAAAATTATATTTTTAGTGAACAGCCCAATAAATATGATAAATAACAAATTAAACAAATTTTCATGTAATGAATAGAAATGTGTTCTCAAGTTTAGACTCACTAAACTTCTAACCGGGATCTCTAGTTTACCGTGCCGTACATCCCAATGTTATTAATTTCAACAATTAGAGCTAATCTAAAATGTGAAAAATTACAATCCAAATAACAAATTAAGAAGTAACCGCGTTGTAAATTCGACTGAAAGAGACGGATTTTTTGAATAAATTGCATAATTCTTGTGGAAAACTGAAATTTTGTACAAATAAATATTTACAGAAAATATTTCTAAGATTAAATTTAAATTTAAATTTAGATTTTAATTTAAATTTAGATTTTAATTTTAATTTTCGAGTAAGAACAAAAGCTTGCAAAGGCGAGGGTGTGTTGAGCACATCGTTATCTCTTTTTTTTAATGTTTAAGTTTTCTTCAACAGGCTTTTTACAAGTTTAAAAATTTTGTTTTCTAATAGCTTGCATTTTTCCATTGTTCAGAAGGAAGAACTTTTGTGTTTCTTGTATTGTGAATTTTGGAATCAAGCATTGATCTCCATCTTGCAGACTCATTCGACGGATCAATTTAGTTCTCTCCGATATACTGGAATCTACGGATTAATCTCTCTTATGCAGACCTATGGATTAATCTATCTTATGCAGACCTACGGATTAATCTCTATCTTATGCAGACCTACGGATTAATCTCTATCTTATACAGACCTATGGATTAATCTCTATCTTATGCAGACCTACGGATTAATCTAATTCTTCTTCCAAGGAATATCGCATTTATCCTAAGAGCTCACATTGGATATCGAGATCAACCGGTCTAGCGTTAGCGATACTCCACATCAAAAATTCGGCCTCTGAACGGTTTTTTTAATTGTTAGAAAACGAACAGTTTACTTTGCTCCTCGTTTATTATTGTAAAGAATAAAATTTCTAAATATGCTATGATCTCGTAGATTTTTGTGAAGCCAATAGAAAGTCCAAAATCCTGGAATGTTGAAAAATAAAGATAAAACAAAATGCCCAACTCTACAGAACAGTACATTCCTAAACTAAAGGTACTATACGCATAATTTTAGTATTTGTCAATAAAGTTATCACGTTCCATACTCATTTGTACTCTGAAATGTTAACATATACAAAATTTTCATACTTGAAACAAGGACTCAATTCTTTGCACCTGTGATATGAGTCTAAAAGTACAAATAAAACCGGTTTAAAAATATTCAATGAAGTATAGAACTAAGGATTGGGATTATTTACATTGTAAAATATTTTGTAAAAAACATCATTTAATGAACATAAGTTGCTCAAGCCCAACCCTCCAACTACAACGAAGTGTATTCTGTTTGTATCGGAATATGTTCAATCATGTTTTGATCTCTCATTCTAAATCTGTCAAAAATACCGTGAATGATCTTATCTATAAATATACTTTGCTTGTCTGTCAGTTTGTCTGTATCTAATCAACGTTAAAACGGCTGAACCGATCGGCCCAAAAAATTTTGTGGGACCTCACGTGACCCCTGGGAAGGTTTATAAATAATCGAATTTTCGAAAATTTGCCTCTAACAAAATTCGATTTTTGAAAATTTTGGAAATTCACGCAATTTTTATTTTAAATCCGCGAAATTTTTGTTGCTTTTTTTTACAATGTAAACAAAGAGAAAATGTTTAAAAATGAATTAGAAGTTTGACGCGAAGCGCTCTAAAAGCCTAGGTTTTTTAGAACAAAAAAAAAATCAGCAAAAAAGGAAATTCCACATTTAACGAGTGAAAATTGGTTCGAAATTTAAGACTCTCTGGACATTTAATCAAGACATTGAGGTTACCGTGTCCTGCCTTGCTCAGGAATACTGTTTACAATTTCTGTTATTGTTTACAATAGAACTAGTTCCTGATCTGGCCTAACATTTCAGTTTAGAATGTAAACAATTCCTCCGTCCTTCTCTCGTTTCTTTATTCTTATTATAGTAATCCCTGCATCCTCCTCTTCTTTATTTATTCTCATTGATAAACCCTCCGTCCTCCTCATCTTTATTTATTCTCATTGATATTTCCACTATCCTCCTCATCTTTATTTATTCTGATTGATAAACCTCCGTCCTCCTCATTGGTAATCTCTCAATCCTCCTCTCCTTTGTTTATTCTCATTGATAATTCCTCAATCCTCCTCTCCTTTGTTTATTCTCATTGATACTCCCTCAATCCTCCTCTCCTTTGTTTATCCTCATGGATAATCCCTCAATCCTCCTCTCCTTTGTTTATTCTCATTGATAATCTCTCAATCCTCCTCTCCTTTGTTTATTCTCATTAATAATCTCTCAATCCTCCTCTCCTTTGTTTATTCTCATTGATAATCTCTCAATCCTCCTCTCCTTTATTTATTCACATTGACTTTAGCAAACTTATACGTGAATGCAGTTCACCCACACAATGTTCTTTAAAAATATTCAAGATGTTAATCATTATTTGAATGTATAATTATATAAAAAAAAAGTATCACGTTAGTAGTCTTTTAAAGAACACATCCCATCACATTCTTTTAAAAAAGTTCGTTTTTTTTGGTTTGTCATTGAATCCCACTAATCTAAAAACATACATATGCAGGTTCATGTTAAGAAAAATAATTCACTGTGAGAAAAAATAGAGGAGCATTTTAGTACACCGAGCATAGACAACTTTCATGAATTAATTTCCTTCTTTACAAGATTTATCAAACATATCTGTATTTATTTCTTTCTATACTTTAAAGAGATTTATTAATTCTCCGTTTTCTGAAGGTCTAAGCGTCTGAATTTGTAAAAGTGTGTGAGTGGTGTTATATATATATATATATAGATTAATGTGTTAAAGAAAGTAAATGCACACTGCACAGTATAACACGCAATCAAAGAATGCTACTTTTCTTGCCAAAGAAAAATCAGGAAAACTCTTAACATTTTAAATATACATATTCCATGTGGATTGGGATTCTCAGGGTGGACTGTAATTCACAAGAGTATCCCTGAATATACCTGGAGAAGATCTATTATACACCTCGAGAAGATTTAATGTATACCTGGAGAAGATCTATTATACACCTCGAGAAGATTTAATGTATACCTGGAGAAGATCTAAGATATACCTGGAGAAAATCTTATGTATACTAGGAGAAGAGCAAATATATACCTGGAGAAAATCTTATATATACCCGAAGAAGATCTTATGTATATTTGGAGAAGAGCTAATGTATACCTAGAGAAGATCTTATATATACCTGGAGAAGATCTAATATATACCTGGAGGAGACCTTATGTATACCTGGAGAAGATATAATTTGTACCTGGAGAAGATCTTTTGTGTACCTGGAGAAGATATAATGTATACCTGGAGAAGATCTAATGTATTCCTGGAAAAGATCTAATGTATACTTGGAGAAGATCTAACGTATAACTGGAGAAGAGCCAACGTATACCTGGAGAAGATCTAATGCATACCTGGAGAAGATCTAATATATACCTGGAGAAGATCTAATATATACCTGGAGGAGACCTTATATATACCTGGAAAAGATATAATTTGTACCTGGAGAAGATCTTTTGTATACTTGGAGAAGATCTAATGTATAACTGGAGAAGAGCTAACGTATACCTGGAGAAGATCTAATTTATACCTTGAGGAGATCTAATGTATACCTTAAAAAGATCTAATGTGATACTATGACCTCGTTTGTATACCCGGAGTAGCAAAGCAGACTGGTAAAGGTTTAAGTTTTATCCTGAAGATGCTTTATGATTAACTCAATGAAAACCCGGAAAAGAGTCTAATCTAACAATTCTAAAAATACTTCTACACTTACAGGACGGTATGGTCTTACCAAGCTAGGAGAACTCCCTACATAATATTTAGTACCTGGAGAATTGAGGTCACCATGTTTAACTTAAAATCGTGTTCAATGATTTTTTAAAGACTGAAGTGTAGTATTTGGGTGAACAGCTGATCTTTACATAGCTCTCTCTCCTCCTCCTAGTCCTATATTTTAGTTTATCTTTCGAGAAAAAGTAGTTCCGTACGTCCTGATTATACAATATACAATACACAATATACAATATACTATATACAATATACAATATACAATATACAATATATAATATACAATATACATTATACAACATATAATGTACAATATTCAATATACAATATACAATATACAATATACAATATACATTATACAATATACATTATACAATAAACAATATACAATATACATATACAATTTACAATATATAATATACAATATACAATATACATATACAATTTACAATATACAATATACAATATACAATATACAATATACATTATACACGCATATATATAGATACAATAAAGCTATTCTCTTATATATTAATATTTGTATCGTTACAACTGGCCAAACCGCAGGAAAACCATGGGTTTAGTTTAAACCTGGGCAAGGCTGGTCAACACTGGGTACTCTAACTAGTTATCTATATATAATGTAAAGTTGTAATCTCTGTTTTTCTGTCTGTTGGTTTGTCCGATCATAACTTGGGAACCCCTGGACCGATTTGCCTCAAACATTTTATTCCATTTTGTTGTGAAAACGTGAAAACTAATATATTTTACATTTTTGAAAATCATTGGTAAAGACATCGAGCTCATTTTCGATTATTAAACCTACTTCTTTTGAAGGTTAAAAAAGGTTTAGACCAAAATGTTTCATCGACCACCACTCCCCCACCCCCTACCCCCATTACAGGTGAAAATATTTGAATTTTCGGAGTAATATTCCGGAGAAATTCTCTTGAATTTCTTGGATAATCTCTCAATTTAAAGAATTTCTCTAAAATTTCCGAGGAATCAGTCACAAGAATTTGTTCTCCAAAGCGAGTCACCACGGTTGGGGAATTTCATGAAATTCCTCACTTTTGTTACCAATGAAACAGAAACGTTGGAATTTATTGAATAGATATTTAATGAAAATTCATGATATTGTTATTAATTTTATACCAGAAAATAACTCTGGCATATCGTCGTTTTCAGATTGGTTGCGTATTTGCTGAATATGATCTAAAATATAATATAGTAAAATTGATTTCAAAGTAAAATATATTTAAGCAAAAGATTTTTTTAACGAAATAAACTGCAAAAAACCTTTAATATCTAATACAGCATATAGAAGACGACATTTAAAACTATTTATCAACTGTCATGTTTCGTGGGACACCCTGTATCTAAATGTAAACTGTTCGTATTGGTAAAAAAGGTTATCGCTCTTGCAGATTGAAAAAGAATCTCCTTCAGGTTTCTTCAATATCTATAGAGTTCTAGAATTACGAATAAAAAATAAATGCATCCCGAAGATTGTGCTTGAAATTCTCAGAATTAAAAGGCTTGCAACTGTGCTGTGCGCAAGTAAAATCCATTTGAGTTGGATTGGAATAGGTATAAAATATCCTAACATCCACTCCAAGAAGGCATTGAAAAAAGTAATTATAATTAACTAATATTTAAGCTAAGTAAAATCTCCTTATATTACGCTTCCTTTTTTCCATTAAATTAAGAAATTTATTAAACATTATAATTTCAACTGGCTTATATTAAATTTTCTTTTGTGGCTTTGTTTTAGCTTAACTATCATGTACATCATTATGTTGTGTTTTAGCTTAACTATCATGTACATTATTATGTTGTGTTTTAGCTTAACTATCATGTACATTATTATGTTGTTTTTTTAGCTTAACTATCATGTACATTATTATGTTGGTGTTTTAGCTTAACTATCATGTACATTATTATGTTGTTTTTTGGCTTAACTATCATGTACATTATTATGTTGTGTTTTAGCTTAACTCATGTATATTATTATGTTGTGTTTTGAGTTTAGAAAATTAATACTATAATTTCACTAAATAAAATACATTTAAGTCATGCGCAGTACATTTTTGAATACTTTTATAACACATTTTTTTAAAGGTTTATATATTTTCTAATCTTTATGGAAATGTTTAGAGAATGTAGCTTCTTAAAAGTTTATTAAAAACTCTCAAATGACTAAAAACTAAACACAATAATTTCCAAATGTTGAACTTTACATAGCATAACTTTTATTTATTTTTTTTACCAGAAACCAATTCTAACTTCTAACTTACACCCATGTTTATTATGTGACATATCCCCTCCCCTCTCTTTTTTACGTTTCTATGTATTTTCATTTTCTTTATGATATTATGTCAAATCTCTGACAAGCGGGGGGGGGGGATGTGCTACCAAATTTTGGATTTTTATATATTCAATAAGATCCTTCATATTAGGATTTCTCAGATTTGGTTGGTACTCCATGGTGATGGTGATGGACCAAACCTTTGTAGAGTAAAAATGTAGATGTTAGTTCCACATTTATTGAAAATATATTTAGGTCTGGGTTGACCCTCGTCAGTTCTAACGATATAATAACCATCAAAATCGACAAAAAAAATGTTAAAAACCACAAGAAAATAAACAAACAAAAGAGATCATTTTAAAAAATTAGGGCTGTCAAATGGATAAAAGGGAGACGAACGATCAGATCATGAGATGGAAGAAAGATAATTTGCAAATATTCACTTTTAAAAAATGTTTTAAGACAATTACTATTCCTTGAGATTGTTTCTGTCACGAAGATTAAAAAACAAATTGTTTAGATGTATGTGTAATGTGTAATGTGTATAAAGTGATGGTGGGGAGTGATCTAATTAACACATAATTTGGTTTTCTTTTAACATTAATTTTAGATTTTCTCAAACAGATTCTAGTACAATAGATGGCAACGTAGAATTTGTACACTCTAAGTACAGTTGTATTCTGTCGTCACAAGTGTCAATTCAGTTTTTGTGTCCGACAAAATTATCAATAATTGTGATAATTTAGAATAAAGTGCTTTTCTTACAGTAAAATAACTGCAATTTTATATATTCTTTAGTTTCTGTTTTTACACTTTTTTATTTAATCTTAGGAAACATGTAAACTAATTTGAGAAAATTTCGTTTTCAACTTTTCCTTGTTATATTTGACACTTGTGACGTAGTGTATAATTGGTTAATTTCTCTGTTGCCACCTATTGCACTTGATAATCTATTTGGATTTTCTATAAAATGATATTCCAGGGCCCAAAAGGTTATATAGCATAAATATGTGAAGTACACCAGCAGTATCGAAACACTACAACAAAATGTGCGTTTTACATTTTTTTCTAGTAAATTCCCCTCATAATATATATTCTATTCTCTTTGTTTACACTGCCCACATGTAATACAGTAAACTACATTGCTGGTCTTACAGTTGAAAGTTCCATTAATCTCATCTTCTTACTGGTATTAGAGGATTGTATAACTGTTCCAGGATTATATGTACATTATAGATCCATTATTTAATCAAAACACAAAAACGCAGTATACGGTTTTTGTCTATCTATCAAATTATTTCGAAATCGAACAAGTTACTGTGACTGTAAACGTTCACAATATACTCTGTATTTTCCATGCTTTTGATTACTTAGTTTTTGAGGTTATGCATTATGATATTTCTCAATATAGGTGAACTATGGCTTTATTAATATTAAAATTCTAAGGTTCATTGTTTTCTGTTTAGGTTGAATACAGTTGATTTTGACTCTTGAACATTCAGAGTACAATATCATTCAACCCAATTATTCAGATATTGAATCTAACCATATTCATCGCTCCAGGTCCTCCAGGTGGTTCGTGGAGCGTATCCTACGGGCCTGTACCTCCTCCCACTGGTGGGCTGTGGTAGAATGAGACCTGGCACGGTGGGTTTGGAAAGCAGGAACCAGCTGTTTACTGTTTACACCGTATCATGCATTCCTTCTACGGATATATTAGAGGAAACAGAGATACTGTAATAATTCTCTACCTTACAGTAACAGTGACAGCTGTACATCTGTACATACCCGTACATTTATGTACGGGTATGCACACTGTACATTACGGGATAATTGTTTGCTGAACAGTTTGTTTCAATGTAAAACCGTAGAAAGACCGTTGCCTTAGTTTTAATCGTTAAACATGATGACGTCAGAGTATTACTCAAACTACCTTGATAAGGGGTGGTTCTAGTAGAGTATACTATTCTTTACTCTAGTCTTCTAGGTGCAGTGCTCTCAACAACATAAATCATAATTTCAGTTTTTATCAGTTAATTTCTCCAGTACAATTTTGTAGTTTTAAAATGGTTCATTGTGAGGATCAATAAACAATACACATGATATGTTTATAAAATCAATAAAGAATGGAATATTATGATACTGGATACAGGATGAATACTCAAGTATAATACAGGATACAGGATGAATACTCAAGTATAACACGGGATACAGGTTGAATACTCAAGTATAATACTGGATACAGGTTGAATACTCAAGTATAATACTGGATACAGGTTGAATACTCAAGTATAATACTGGATACAGGATGAATACTCAAGTACAATACAGGATACAGGATGAATACTCAAGTATAATACAGGATACAGGATGAATACTCAAGTATAATACAGGATACAGGTTAAATACTCAAGTATAATACTGGATACAGGTTGAATACTCAAATATAATACTGGATACAGGTTGAATACTCAAGTAAAATACAGGATACAGGTTGAATACTCAAGTATAATATTGAATACAGGATGAATACTCAAGTATAATACTGGATACAGGATGAATATTCAAGTATAAATCTGGATACAGGATGAAATCTGAAGTGTAATACTGGATACAGGTTGAATACTCAAGTACAATACAGGATACAGGATGAATACTCAAGTATAATACTGGAAACAGGTTGAATACTCAAGTATATTACTGAATACAGGTTGAATACTCAAGTATAATACAGGATACAGGTTGAATACTCAAGTATAATATTGGATACAGGTTGAA